GTTTGAGCATTGGCCTGCTAAACCCAGGGTTGTGAGTTCAATCCTTGAGGGGGCCATTTAGGGATCTGGGGCAAAAATTGGGGATTGGTCCTGCTTTGAGCAGGGGGTTGGGCTTGATGACCTCCTGAGGTCCCTTCCCACCCTGAGATTCTATGATCCTCCTACACGCGTGTGGCTTCAGACCAGGTCCCTGTGCTGGTTGGTCCCTGAAGAAGTGATCCCCAATGGGTGTGGCAAAGTTTCCTACAGTGGGGGAAGAAAGAAAAGAGCCCTGCCAAGGAACCTTTGGCACAAGATTGGTGGGTACCTCCAGGAAAGTTTCCTAGAGATCTCTCTGGAGGATTCCCGGGAAAACAAACTTCCGCAGGGCCCCTACTGCGTAACTGCACAGCGGAAGGCGAAGCAGATGCAAACACAGCTAGTCTTGTACGTTCCTATTCCCTTCACCCACAAAGGACAGCTCTACCTCATGTAACCGAGCAGTTTCAACTCAAAATGAGCATTTACCAGAGCTTCCCCTCTCCTGCATCATGGGCGCCAGAGCTGGAGTGCTGGGACCGGCTTGAGGCTACCAGAGTCAAGAAGAGCTCCTGACTCGCCACGCTACTGGACGACCCTGTCGCCTGTCCCATCTCATCCTCCAACTCCACTTCTTCGGCCTCAGGGTTAAGTCTGCTGGCCACTGTCTCCGGCTCCCCCCCGTCCCGCCAAAGTATCCATGGTGGAGACGGCATCCAGCTCTTTGTAGAAGTGGCAGGTCTTCGGCGTAGCACCCGAGCGATGGTTTGCCTCCCTTGCTTTCTGGGACGCCTGTCTCAGACCCTTGGTCTTCCCACGGCACTGATGCACGTCTGGTTCGTGGGCTTTCTCCAACGTGCCACGAGAAATCTGCCCGTAGGTATCGAAGTTCCTACGGCTGGAGCGGAGCTGGGATTGCACAGCTTCCTCTCCCCACAGATCCAACAGCTCTGTCCTGCTCCAGGCAGGAGAGCGTTTTCTGCCATGGTCAGCTGGGAAGATGCAATGTGAGCCCTCCTTGCTGAGCAAACAGGAAGTGGAATTTCAAAAATTCCCGGGTCTTTAAAGGGGGACGGGCTAATTTACCTAGGCTGCAGGGCACAATCTGGAGGCCACTTACCGCGACACAACCAAGCACAGTGTCCACACCGGCACTGTGGATCTAACTTTGTCGCAAAAAGCTCTACGCCTCTCGTCAAGGGGGATTTTATTTTGCCGGTGTAGCTGGAGCGTGAAATCGGAGGGAGGAGTATTGTAGTGTGTCGACAAAACCCTGTCGTGAAGACGAGGCCTAAGCCAAGAGACAGATGGGAACGGACAGGCAGAAGCGGGAGGTGTCCCAGTTTGTATATGGAGCCAAATGCTCATGAAGAGATTGTGAAATCTTCAAGAGAGGAAATTTACACGAAATAACAAACAGCAGGATCCTGATTTGGGGGGTACAGAAGAACACCCTGCATCCTCCAGCGTGGAGGCAAGCTGACAGCATCATTTGTCTCATGAGCAGAAGATCAGAGCCAAGCCTGGCTCTAAAATGCTGGAAGGACGTTGCTTGAGCATTGCTGTAGAAGGTATGAAAGGATCTAGTCCTGTAAAGTCTAGGTTCTAGAAAGCGTGTTCTGATTTTACCTGATGTGTAACTATTTTTTCCCCCAGTACTTCTCCTTGCTATCACTTCAATCTCTAGACTCCCTTAAATAAACTTTTACTGGTTTTCACTCTACACACATCTAGGTGCGGTGTGTTAAGCGGCACGGTGATGGGATGTATAACTAGTAAGCTGCAATAGCTGTGAATCTGTAAGTGTCCAGTGGAACAGGGGCTGGCTTCTCCAGGGAGATGCTCAGCGGTAACAAGAAGGGTTTCTACAGGTATGTTCACAACAAGAAAAAGGTCAGGGAAAGTGTGGGACCCTTGCTGAATGGGGGAGGCAACCTAGTGACAGACGAGGTGCAAAAAGCTGAAGGATTCAATGCTTTTTTGGCTCGGGTCTTCACAGACAAGGTCAGCTCCCAGACTGCTGCACTGGGCAGCATGGTATGGGGAGGAGGTGAGCAGCTCTCAGTGGTGAAAGCACAGGTTAAGGACTATTTAGAAAAGCTGGACATGCACAAGCCCATGGGTCCAGATCTAATGCATCTGAGGATGCTGAAGGAATTGGTGGATGTGATTGCAGAGCCATTGGCCATTATCTTTCAAAACTCGTGGTGATCGCGGAGAGGACCCAGATGATGGAAAAAGGCTAATGTAGTGCTCATCTTTAAAATAGGGAAGAAGGAGACTCTGGGGAACTACAGACTGGTCAGCCTCACCTCTGTTCCTGGAAAAATCATGGAGCAGGTCCTCAAGGAATCCATTTTGAAGCACTTGGAGGAGAGGAAAGTGATCAGGAACAATCAACATGAATTCACCAAGGACAACTCATGCCTGACCAACCTGATTGCCTTCTATAATGAGATAACTGGCTCTGTGGATATGGACATGATACACCTTGACTTTAGCAAAGCTTTTGACACGGTCTCCCACATTATTCTTGCCAGCAAGTTAAAGAAGTATGGATTGGATGAATAGACTATAAAGTGGATAGAAAGCTGGCTAGATCATCGGGCTCAACAGGTAGTGATCAACTGCTCGATGTCTAGTTGGCAGCTGGTATCAAGCGGAGTGCCCCAGGGGCTGTCCTGGGGCCGGTTTTGTTCAACCTCTTCATTAATGATCTGGATGATGGGATGGATTGCACCCTCAGCAAGTTCATGGATGACACTAAGCTTGGGGGAGAGGTAGACGTGTCGGAGGGGAGGGATAGGGTCCAGAGTGGCCTAGACAAATTGGAGCATTGAGCCAAAAGAAATCTGATGAGGTTCAACAAGGACAGATGAGGTTCACTTAGGACGGAAGAATCCCAGGCACCGCTACAGACTAGGGACCGAATGGCTCGGCAGCAGGTCTGCGGAAAAGGACCTGGGGATTATAGTGGATGAGAAGCTGGATAGGAGTCAGCAGTGTGCCCTTGTTGCCAAGAAGGCCAAGGGCATTTTGGGCTGCATTAGTAGGAGCATTGCCAGCAGATCGAGGGAAGTGATTATTCCCCTCTATTTGGCATTGGTGAGGCCAGACCTGGAGTACTGCGTCCAGTTTTGGGTCCCCCGCTACAGAAAGGATGTGGACAAACTGGAGAGAGTCCAGTGGAGGGCAACGAAAATGATTAGGGGACTGGGGCACATGACGTATGAGAGGCTGAGGGAACTGGGGTTATTTAGTCTGTGGAAGAGAAGAGTGAGGGGGGATTTGATAGCAGCCTTCAACTACCTGAAGGGGGGTTCCAAAGAGGAGGGAGCTCGGCTGGTCTCAGGGGTGGCAGATGACAGAACGAGGAGTAATGGTCCTCATGTTGCAGTGGGGGAGGTTTAGGTTGGATATTAGGAAACACTATTTCACGAGGAGGGTGGGGGTGACGCACTGGAATGGGTTCCCTATGGAGGTGGTGGAATCTCCATCCATAGAAGTTTTTAAGGCCCGGCTTGACAAAGCCCTGGCTGGGATGATTTAGTTGGGGTTGGTCCTGCTTTGAGCAGGGGGTTGGCCTAGATGACCTCCTGAGGTCCCTTCCGACCCTGATCTTCTATGATTCGATGAGTGTGTCTATCGCTTCCCTGTTGAGAATATTTTGAAGTGCTGTAAAATCCACAGGCACACTGACAAGGTGTGCTCTTCAAAGTTTGGCCAGGATAGCTCTGTCGCTTAGGGCTGTACAAAAATCACACTCCCTACCCCATCCAACATAACAATGTCGGCAAAAGATTCAATATAGACACAGTTATGGTGGCAAAAAATCCATTACAAAAAATGAAGGAAACTAAATACCCATAAACTATTTTACTGCAGAGTTAAGGTTGCCCAGAGCTGTCTCCTGCCTTTCACCATATGGACAGTGGCTAAACCTAAACCTTTGCAAACCAGAAAATGAAAAGTAAATGTACACGCTACCCCTGCATTGCCCCTTAACTCTGCTTCCATCCCCAACCCTGCAGCTGGTAAGAGACACTGGGAATGGTTCTGTCAGGTTGGTGCAATGGTTAGCGAACTACCCCAGGAACTGGAGAATTCTCCATCTCTTGAAGTCTTCATGTCGAGACTTCCTTTCTGGAAGATGATTTAGCCAAACACAAGGTGTTCAGCTGTGACCAGATGAAATTCTACAGTCTGTGTGATACAGGAGATCAGAGTAGATAACCTAATCATCCCTTCTGGCCTTACAAATTCATGGATCTATAATAGATACGAGGAAGGACTAAGAACATGCCATTGCATTGTGTTCTCCAGACGGGAATCCCAGCATTTATCCACATCCCCTCCGGCTGTGTGCACTGGGTCAGGTGTAGCCGTAATCGGACGGTGGAGGGAGTACTTGGAGCAGCTTGGCAGAGCTGTGACTAGTATGCAGAAAGGTGCACGTGACCCCTGAGGGACCGAGCCTGCCCCATTTCAGTGCTCAGTGTTGTAGGTTGTGTCAGTGAAGGTGCACAAGGGGGAGTTCCTGCCCTGAGGATTGCCAGCACCCTGGTGGGATACACGCTAGTGGTCTCCAGGGCTTAGTGAGGGGCAAGTGAAGGCAACGACTCAGAAGGAAACCTCATGGTGAGGGTAGGCGAGTGGGATCACTTTGCAAGACGGAGCTGGTTTGTGTGGAGCAGGCTCAGTGTTTGAGAGAGGGGCAGGGGTTGGAAGTTTCTGTTCGTCATGCTGGACCCAACCCCCCGTTTTACCTGAGCAAACAGGAGAAATCTGACACCGTGCTGTAGTTCTCCTGTGCTCTGTTCCCAGGGTGTTCTGTAGTGAGCAGGGCAGAGGGCTAGTGTGTGTGTCATTCGCATGTCGGGGTCATGCTGAAACAGGGCAGAGTTAAGGTTACATTGTGGGGGTGACATGAACCTTAACTCTGCATTTCCCCTTCTAAGAACCGAGGGGTCAGCAATCCTTACCCAGCGAGGTCACAGTCTCATAGGTCTCCTGCATGACGTCTCTGCAGAGGGCTCTCTGAGCGGGGTCCTGCAGAGCCCCCTCTTCCCTGGTGAAATACACAGCCACTTCCTCGAAGGTCACCGGCCCCTGAAAGAGCAAGAGTCCAACCCTCAGTGCCTGCTGCCCCACTCACAGCCCCACTATTCGTGGGGGAGAGGAGCCAAACAAACGGAAACTCCGGATGGTTTGGAATCAACAGAGTCCGTTAGGATACAGATATTCAGGCCTGTACTCTAAGAGTTTAGGTGTATTCTTATCACTTGGCTAGTTCTAGAGGTATAAAAGAAAGAATCAAAATCACTGACTGCGTAAGGCCTTTTCTCACTGTGACAGTCGGAGGCCCTGTTCTTAGGCTGAGATCTCTGGCTAAGCAGCAGAGACAGCCATAAGCTGGGAAGCGACCGGTCACCTCCTCACATCCCAAACTAGTCACATTGAAGGAAGGTGCTATGGGGCTGTTAGGATACAGTCCTGTCCTGATAATGCCTATCGCCTCCAGAGAAAGGGAAGAGCCAAGAAGACGTAAAAGGAAACTTAGTCTGATAGCATCCTGTCTGGCAAGAACTCACTTCTCAATAGCTGGGATGTGAAATCCTCACTTCTGTATTGTTTTGTCATTATAGTTCCCACTTTGCTATTGTTTGTCTGTATAATCTCTGTCTGGTTCTGTGATTGTTCCTGTCTGCTGTGTAATTAATTTTGCTGGGTGTAAACTAATTGAGGTGGTGGGATATAATTGGTTACATAATCATGTTACAATATGCTAGGATTGGTTAGTTAAATTTCAGGAAAATGATTGGTTAAGGTATAGCTAAGCCGAACTCAAGTTTTCCTATGTAGTCTGCTGAGCTGAGAAGGGGGACACAAAGGAAGGGGGACACTAAGAAACTGGAATCATGCTTGCTGGAAGTTCACCCCAAGAAACGTCGAATTCTTTGCACCTTTGGACTTCGGGTATTGTTGCTCTCTGTTCATGCGAGAAGGGCCAGGGAAGGAAGTGGGTGAAGGAATAAGCCCCCTAACAGAGTCCCACCCCCACCCCGCTCAGAGCATCCAGGAAACACCAGGGTGAGGGGCGAAGAGAGAGCCCCTCCTCTCTCCCAGCAGATCCATCACACACCTACTAGCCACAGACGGATACAGGAGATGGAGCCCCTAGCAGGGTCCAGGGAGAGCTCCCTGATAGGAAGCCCAACACCCTCCTCCTTGTGAGGAGCTGGATATGAAGGGAGGGGCAGCTCCCCTGAGCCTCACATGTGGGTGCCCCCTTCATATCTCACAGCAGCTGCTGGTTAGCCGGGTCAGGCTCCAGCACTGGGAGTCTGGGCCGTTTTCCCAGCCCCAGCTAGGTGGGTTGTTTCCTCTTCCACAAATTAGGGCATTTCCACCTCCGAACCTCATGGGTCTGTTCCTAGAATCTAGGCCACTTATTAAACAACTCCCAGCAGGTCTGCCACCCCCTGGCCTCCTCCCTTTCTCCACCCTGTGCATTTCCTGCCCCGCTCCAACCTCCAAACCAGACAGTGCAAAGCTTCCCCTCTCCGCTGTATTTGCTGCCCCTCTCCCTCCTGCAGGAACCCACCAGCAACTCCCCGATAATCCCTACTATGAACTGGCTCCTCTGCAGCCATTTCTCTCCCCTGTCCCATGGGAGGACGGGATCAACTGGAGGGAAACTTGGGCGTCATTCTGCAGCCTGGCAGGGCGAGAAGGGCAGTTGTGGAGGTTTAGGAGCGGGCTTTCGTTCATTTCACATCACGATTCCCCCAGGCCTTTTCCCTGCAGACAGACAGCCTAGATTCTGCCATGCTGGGAAAATGCTTGTTCTCTGTATTACAGTGTAGACCGGGCCCCTCCTGCCAGGCTAAGCCCACAGAGAGATTTTAACCCCCCTTCTCCCTCCCCCCACCCCATAACAAAGTGTCTGAACACAGTGCTAGAAAAGAGCAGAACCAAAGGAGTCACTTAGGAGGATTCCCTCTGACCCCAGGGCAGCCACACCTGTTAAGGAAAAGTTAGCACATGTGCATATGTGACTTCATTTTGGTTTGGGGCCCACCATTGTCTAAAAGCAAACACATCATGTACCAGGAGGAGTATTCCCCAGATACTGCATTCCTGTGAAAAACCCCTCCTTGTTTCCAGCCTGTCTCGACTCCCGGTTTCTGTTCTTTGTCTGTTCCTAACTCCCTGCCTCCTGGCCTTGATGCGAGCCTCCCATCCTGATAAGAAAGGCTACTGGTGCATTGCTTTAGGACCATGTTGTGTGGTTGAAATAATGGTTTAGCACGGGGGATGCACTTAGCAGGAATAGGTGGTAGATAAGGGAAGGATTTGTCACAGCAGTTCTTGTGCGTGACCTATCGGGTATAATTCGCAGCAGTTGGTGTGCGTGACCAATTAGGTATAATTCATAACAGTTTTGGAGACCACGAAGGGACCCTCGGCTCGCCCCGACAAGCAAGACCGCACTCCTCCTCTCGGACAGCTCCAGCCGGCACAGGGTGAGTTCACCTTTGAGAACTCCAAGGAGGGGGTATGTGAGCCGTCGCTTTGGCGATAAGGCAGCACATTTTGTGTCCTTTTGGTAGCCCATTATGGGTTCTGGGCAAAGTGTAAGTAAGGGGACCCCTTTGGCTGAAATTCTCAAGAATTGGGGGAATATTTCTGGTACCCATGGGTTAGGTAAAAAGAAAGCAGTAATCTTGTGCAAGGTTGAGTGGCCAGCACTAACAACTCAAACACCTCTCGAATGGCCACCGGATGGTTCTTTTGCTGGGGAAAAATTAACAGCGCTTAGGAAAAGGCTGGAGAACAAAGCTCCAGCCCAGATGGATTATTGGTATGTATGGGACAACTGGGCTTACGCGTGTGCGAAAGGACGTCCTCTTTCCTCCTCCTTTTCTTATTCATCTCAGGGGTCTCCAGCCCCGCTCTCTGCTATGCCTGCTTCTGCCCCTCCTTCGGCTTATCCTCGGCTTTCTGACTTATGCCCGTCACCTCCTTGCTTGCCAATTGGCCGTGCGTTCTGTCCAGGTGACAAGCCTCATGGGGGGAGGACTCGGGTAGCCCTTGTAAGTGAGAATATTTAAGAGAAGAGAGCAGGAGGGCTGGGGGGCTAGTTAAGAAGCCCACCCTCCTTGTTAAATTGGTAGTGAAACAAAGCTGGTGTTCATGGAAGGGACAGTTCAGAGAAAAAAACAGGATCGGGCCCAAGCGGGCAGGCAACAGGTAGAAAGATTGGAAAACAGGTTGAAAACTTGGAGGTCATAGTGAAAAAAGAGGAGTAAATAATTACAGGAATGAGAAACGTAAATCCCGGAATAATACTTAGAATGGTAAAATCTAAGTTAATTGGGTGTCAAGATAAGCAAGTAATTTAAAAAAGAAAAGTAAAAAGTTAACTCTCTAGTTGCTGAAAAGAATTAAGCAGTTAAACTTTGTGAAATACCGGGAAAAAAAAAGAATTCTTGGTTTCTTTGGAGCCATTTTGAGGAAAATTGGCCCTTTTCCAAAGGAATGCAATTATACAGTGCTACTTAATATCTTATTAGGCTCCAAGGGGCTACAATAGGTGGTGTCTTCCTTTTCAGGTTGCTGTGTGTTCGACAGCAGGAGTTAAAAGTAAAAGGCAATCAAAAGTCTGGTAAAGTTTATTGTGCCCTTTTTAAAGTAAGAATCTTTAAGCTGTGGATCCAAAAGCAAGCCGGAAAGCATTTGTTTTAATGTAAATTACCTAACTGATAAGGTAGAAGCCACTAAAACCTGGGCTGCCTATGAAACAAATACAAGAACATATGGGTAATTCCTCCATTTTGCCTGCAATTAACAAGGATATTTGTATAAAAAGGAGATATTTTAAGCAATGACTGACTGCCCGGAAGAGGTAGATCTATGTTCTTTTTGTCTTTCAGAAAATCAGAGAAAACTGATGCCAGCTGAAAAGCAATTCAACATCTCATGAACTTACTGGCACAATAGGAATTCTGGTCTGCGTTCTATGTCCTGTCTTGCGGTGTTTGTCTTGTGGCCAGAATTGCTGTGTTTAATTTTTCATAGGACAGTTTAGTTTAAAACTAAATAGAAGGGTTAAATCAAAATGCAGATACTTGTTTTATTCAACTTGGAATACAAAGTGTTTGGATAATATCAGAAAAATGTGATAGACTAAAGTTTAATACATTTGCTTAAGTAAAAAAAAAAAAAATTTCATTGGCCAGATCTTTTAATTGAAAAAAATTGTTGTTAAAATTCGCACACCAACAGTCTTTGGAAGCGAGGACATGGAAGGTTAACCACTCTCCATATTATACATGGGATCCTTCTGGCTACCTCACATTTCTAGCCAGAGGGCTGGGGAGGGAGGAAAGCTATTGGACACCAGAGGTTGTACCAAGCGGACTCCTCAAAAGTGGGTGTGCTTGTCCTGGCTTGTTGCTCCAAAGCTCCGTAATAAAGTCATTTTCCTAGAAGGGTGTATGTGGCATACGTTGAACAATAAGACGAAAGTGCTCTATAATGGGCAATGTACATGTGTTCCTTTTTGAACAAGGGTGTGGGAGTGGAAAGTGAAAGTTCCCTTTGCAGGTTAATAAAAGCCAAGGGGAAAAGAAATAAAACGGAGGACGAGCTCATTCAACGCTGTAGCTGGCAGGCTCGGTCCAAAGATAAGACACTGGCCTTGCCCAAGGACACTGCTCACAGCTAGGATTTGGCTGACAGCCAAGAAAGAGGGGGGCTTGAATGTGCCCAGGCAGCTGTGAGATCTGCACCACACTGCCAGACATTAATGAAATGTGTGAGGTCTCTGTATTTACAGGTGAAAGGAGTCCTGCTTCAAGAATCCTGAGCAAACCTGCCATTTGTTGAAACCAGGTGACTGGGTCTACATAAAGGTCCATCAACAAAAGACTATTCTGGCCCCATGCTGGAAAGGCCCTTATTAAGTCCTGCTAACTACCAACACCGCTGTGAAGTGCCAAGGACTGACTGCCTGGGCCCATGCTTCTTACTGCAAAAAGACCCCTCTGCCTCGAGGTGACTTCACTTCGACTACTGATCAGCCTCCTTCTGGGTTTTTTTTTCTT